CAGGCTCATTATTCCCTAACTGTTTCCTCCTGTTTATGCCTCTCAAATTAAATTGCTGATAATATGCGCCAAAATAAAAAATGAACGCACCTTGTCCCAAGAAAATTGATTCTCCCTTTTCCTGAACTGGCGATGGCCAGGTTTTATATACTCTGTTCTTGGTGATCATTAGTAATTCAATTTTCTTTTTATTAGCCCCCTTATCTGCTGAGCAATATAGTGGCAGGGCTGACCTCTTTCGCACGGGTAAATGTTTAAAATCTTTTCCCTGATTAATTTTGCCAGTTAAGAAAAAGAGGAGAAATGGCCCGGCTCTCAGCCATCACAATGAATAAAGCTTAATGTTGATTGTGATGGAATTTCTAATGCCAGGGAAATTGATTGAACGCGGCAATTACGCTGCAATAGTAACTCAGGGGAGATGGGATCGCTTTCTCCTGGCCGTAGCCTTTTGGTTATTTAAAATAATCCAATTTGCAAGGATAATTATGTATTAGCGTTTTATCTACCACTTGAAATGAACAGGGGAGTTTCGATACTGGCCCAGCATTAGCAGGTTATTGCTGCAAATTACTTGATATCTGCTTTCTTTCACATAAAGAGGAAATTAGGCGATCAATTACCAAAAAAGGGCGGACAGAGGGGATAGGAGGGGCAAGCACGCCCTCTGCTGGCCACTGGGCCGCACGGCAAGGCTGAAGTGTGGCGGGGGAGGGACGGGGCAGCAGGGCTGCCTGGCAGCTTTCAGAAGCCCGTCCCTAGTGCAGGAGCCCACAGGGCAGTTGTCCCCATCTGGACACTGGGACACTGCCCTCTCCTTGAAGAGGAGAGGTGGAGCTGAAACTAAGCTTTTGCTGGGCAGAAAATGGGGAAAGAAGACTCCAAACAGCCAAACGAAGGAGCAGCCCCACCTGGCGGCCCCACCCACAGCCCACACAACCCCGGCATCCAGGAACGAACGCCCCGGCCGATGGAGGCCTTGGCCACGCGGGAGGGCTCACTGGCTCACCAGGGCACTGCAGTGTTAAACGAAACAAAGCTGGGCCCTGCCCAGAAGCCCACCTGACCAGGGCTGAGGACAGGCAAGCCTCAGTTCTTAGGCAAGCAGGGAGGGAGATGGTGGGCCTTGCGGGAGGGCGCCTCGGGGAGCCACTCACCAGCTTCCCGGGCCCCAGCCTCCCACCTCAGCAGATGTCCCGGCCATGCCCATCTCCCCTGCGGCCAGCTTGGAGTCTTGCAGTGGTTGTCTCTGGGATCAGCTGCCTGAGTGACCAGGCCAAGATGCAGGCTCGGCCTCTCACCTCTGCACATATCGCCATGGGCTCCCTGCCCTCTTGAGAGCGTGTGGACTCTGCTCCTTGGCCTGGCGTCCACAGCCTCGGACACAGGCCCTGCTGACTCACTGCCTGCTCAGGCCTGCCAGACACCCTGGGGCCCTGGACCTTCCCCTCCCAGGGTCCTCCCCTGTCCCTCCCTGGCTTCCCAACGTAACCAGAACCAACCCCCCTTTGCCTCCTGTGGCCTACAAGACCCTTTCCCGGGACCTGGTCCCTCTGCCCCGTTGGCTCCACCCCCTCCAAGCCACACTCCCAGACGGTGAACCGGCCCCACAGCCTCCTCGTGCTCCAGAACCGGCCCCACAGCCTCCTCGTGCTCCAGAACGCAGCAAGCTCATTCCCACCTCCATCTCAGCCTACAGAGCTGAGCCCTATTCGCTCCTCTCTGCTCAGGTCACCTCCTCAGAGAAGCCCTCCCACTCGCCGATCACCTCTCTGCAGCTGGTCCTGTGCTATCCCCCTGCCTGTTCCTCAGAAGGCATTTTCCACCCAGAAGCACCTTTCTGGCTGATGTACAAGCACTCCGGTGGCTGCCTGTCTCCACCACTGGAAGGCGGCTCCAGCCTCATCATCTCTTCACCTTCACTGCAGTACCCCAGGAGCCAGCAGGCTGCCAGGCACAGTGACTCAACTGTGCTTGCCAGATGGGCCAGTGGTGGGCAAGTCAGGGGGACGCCTTCCCCACCCCCACCCCTTCCTCACACAGGACCCTCTCCTCTCACTCCATGCAGTTGTCACACTGGTCTTTTTTTTTTTTGAGACAAAATGTCACTCTGTCACCCAGGCTGGAGATCTCCGCTCACTGCAACCTCTGCCTCCTGGGTTCAAGTGATTCTCCTGCCTCAGCCTCCCAAGTAGCTGGGATTAAGGCGCTTGCCACCATGCCCGGCTAATTTTTGTATTTTTAGTAGAGATGGGTTTTGCCATGTTGCCAAGGCTGGTCCTGAACTGCTGACCTCAGGTGATCTGCCCACCTCAGCCTCCCAATGTGCTGGGATTACAGGCGTGAGCCACCACACCCAGCTTCACACTGGTCTTTATGAGTTTGGCTGGGCACAGTGGCTCACACCTGTAATCCCAGCACTTTAAGAGACTAAGGCAGGAGGATCCCGTCAGCCCAGGAGTTCAAGACCAGCCTAGGCAACAAAGCAAGACCCTGTCCCTACAAAAAAAGTAAAAATTAGCTAGGCATAGTGACCGGTACCTGCAGTCCCAGCTATTCAGCAGGGTCACTTGAGCCCAGGAGGTTGAGGCTGCAGTGAGCCGTGATTGCACCACCGTACTCCAGCCTGGAAGGCAAGCAGGGCCCTGTTTCTAAAAACATTATTAAAAAAAAAAAAGATGAGATCAATTACACCCTTCCCCCTAGTGAGGCAGGACCGCAGCAGCCCCACAGCCGTGCACTCCGCAATGGTCAGCCGGTGAAGCTGGTGGCCTCCCAAGCCCGCACTCCTTCCGACAGGAGTCCAGGGGGTGCCGAGCAAGGCCCCATTAGCCGGAAGCAGCCTCCCCCATCCCCTGCCTATGCCCCACTCTACTAGAGGCCCGAAGAGGGAGCAGGCCAGGTGAGCAGGGCTGACCCTGCACCCAGTGGGGAGCCTCTCACCCCAACCACCACGCCATCTGCAAGCCTCAGCCTCCTAGGGCTCAGCAGCCCCTCCTGACCTCCCAGAGCTGGACGCCTCCTCAACCCCTCCTCCCCAGGTGACCAGGGGACACTGCCAACTGTCCAAGCCAACCCTACTATCCACTCCCAGACAAGCCCATGACCTAACCCCCATCCGGCCACCTCACTGTGGCCACCAGGGACCACATGGGTCTCTGCTTGCTCCCTGTCACCAGGATGAAATCCACGTGTTCTGGCATGCAGCAGGTGTCTGCTAATAGGGGACAGCCAACCTGCGCCCCCAGCCTCACTTTCACCTGCCCCCCCTTCCCCGTGCTGCAACACCCGGCTGCATCGCCCCATTCAGTCCTCCATCTGGAACCACACGCCCTGCCCTCCGGTGGCAGCCCCCACATGACTCTTGGCTCTGCCCAGGCCCAGCTCCTTCCACAGTCTTCTGAAGCCTCCCTAGATGATAGTATGCTTGAATGGGTTTCTTTTTTTTTTTTAGAGAGAGTCTTGTTCTGTCGCCCAGGCTGCAGGCTGGAGTGCAGTGGCGCGATCTCAGCTCACTGCAACCTCCCAGGCTTGAGCAATTCTCCTGCCTCAGCCTCTCGAGTAGCTGGAATTACAGGCATGTGCCGCCATGCCCAGCTAATTTTTGTATTTTTGGTAGAGACGGGGTTTTGCCATGTTGGCCAGGCTGGTCCCAAACTCCTGGCCTCAAGTGATCCTCCCACCTTGGCCCCCCAAGGAGCTGGGATTACAGGCGTGAGCAACCACGCCAGCCTTGGCTAGATTTCTGAGCACCAGTCCCCAGTCGGAGTGCCCAGGTCCAAGCCTGCTCAATCCCCAACACCCCACCTTCTCCAGATGTCACAGACACGAGCTCAGGAAGCCATTGCCCTAACGCGCCCAGGGGAGCCACAGAGTCGCACGGGACCAGATGCACACGGACAAACGTGGCTCCACACTGACCCTTACAGTGTCTGGGGGGTGCCACACCCAAGGGCTAGACTCTCACCACATACCCCCAACCACGTGCCCGCCTGGAGGCTGCTCCCCCAGTGTGTCGGCACCATCACCGCAGTGGGGGTCAACCTCAAAGGGGCTACACCCCACAATCTCCAGGCCAGGGCCTTCCCCGGCCGCGACAGGGGCTCAGACCACTTCTCTGCAGGCCGGGACCTTCCCCGGCCACCACAGGGGCTCTCAGGAGCTCAGACCACTTCTCTCCAGGCGGGACCGGGTGCACTCAGAGTGGTACGGCGGGAGACCAGACCAATTCTTTCAGTCCGCTCAAAACACTCGCACAGCACCATGTGACACTCAGAAAGGCCAGGGCAGGCAGACCTGCAGCCCCAGCCAGCTGAGCACAGAAGGGCCCTGGAGGAGGCAGAGGCCTGGGGGTGCCCAGCACAGCACAAGTGAGGGCTTCACCCCTGCCTAAGGGCTCAGCAGCCGCCGCCCCTCCTCCCTCAGGAGGGACGCAGCTGGGTCCATACCAAGAGACACACAGAAGAGGCCACAGCACCTGCCTAGCAGCACATCCCACACCCAGACTGCAGGGCGCAGCACCCGGGCCCTCTCCTCTATTTTTTTTTTTTTTTTGAGAGGGAGTCTCGCTCTGTCGCCCAGGCTGGGATGCAGTGGCCGGATCTCAGCTCACTGCAAGCTCCGCCTCCCGGGTTTATGCCATTCTCCTGCCTCAGCCTCCCGAGTAGCTGGGACTACAGGCGCCCGCCACCTCGCCCGGCTAGTTATTTTTTGTATTTTTTAGTAGAGATGGGGTTTCACCTTGTTAGCCAGGATGGTCTCGATCTCCTGACCTCGTGATCCGCCCGTCTCAGCCTCCCAAAGTGCTGGGATTACCGCGCCCGGCCCCGGGCCCTCTCCTCTACCTGCCAGCCCACCACCACCGTCTGCCAGGCAGTGCCCGCCCAGCCAGGGCCTCTAACAGCATAAGGCAGGGAAGGTGACCATGGCTCCTAACACGCCAGCAGATCCAGTGCAGGCATGCCCAGCCCCAGTACCCAGCGCCCCTGCTCCCAGCATACCTTCCCTGGTGGTGAGGTGGGCCCGGCTCGGAGGCAGGCGGCACAGTCGGTGCGTGGTGACCTGTACCAGGCCCTTGTTGGGGGTCTTCTTCAGGACAGGGCTGCTCTTCCCCCGGAGGGCCTGTCTCCGCCGGAGGCTGAGGTGGCTCTTGGCGGTGGTGGCAGGTGCGGGGCTGCCTTTCTTGTCTCCAGGAAGGCTGTGGAGACAAAATACAGGCAGCTCTCAACAAGCCCTGGGGGTTCTGCCCACCTACCCTTCCTCACCAGGACCCGAGGAGCATGGGAGCAGCTCCTGAAGGCCAGGACCCGGCCACATCGGGTCCTTTCTGGACCCTGCCTCCCTCAACCCATGGCAGCTCTGCCCACCCTCCACAGCCAGGCTGAGGCGGCAGGCTTGGATCCACAATCCCAGATGACCCCAGAACTAGGGCAGGCTACCACGCTCCCAGGGAGAACAGAGGGGCCTCAGCACTCTGTCCCCACACACATGTCCACCCCTTCCCCATCTACCCAGGCCAGAGGAGTCCCTGCATGGGGCAAAGGGAAGGGCCAACATCCCTGAGGAGAGCGGCCACCAGCCCCACGTGGCTTTCCGAGCCCCTCAGTAAGGGGGCAGCTTCTCCGCACTCCCTCTCCACACTTCCTGGACAGAGGGAGCTGCCAGCATGGTTTAGAGCAGAGCTGCCACCGAGAAACAGCCAGGAGTGGGAGCCAGGTGCCCATGTGCCTCAAGACAGCACCTGTCTCGGGGAGCAGGGCCAGAGAGAATGAGCTACACGAGCCAGCGACGTAGACCAGACAGCAGGGGTGCGCAGCAAGGAGGTGCCTTCCAAGACAGTGCGCGCCGCTGTGTCTGATGACGAAGGCAGGACCTCCACCCTCTGCCCAGCAGGTGCAGCTGCCACCTTAGCTGCCACCTTAGCTGCCAACCTGATGGAGTCCCTGAGCCCAGACCAAGCACTGCGCCATGACACCATCTCTCAGTCTCATCACAAGTCCGCAAAGGTGGAGGCCGGGAGAGAAGTGTGCCAAGCAAGTGAGTGACTCCGCCTGGCTGCCTAGCCAAGGGGGCTGGGACCTAACACCAATCTGGTCGCCCTGGGACCAGAGGCCAACCGCAGCCTCAGCACTCCGCGAGGCAGGCCACAGAGCCCAAAGCCAGGAATGCCCAAGGAGGCTCCCGCCTACCAGCAGCTCCTGGCCCCCGCCCATCAGCCCAGCTGAAGCAGTCCTCAGCCTGGGGGCCAGCAAAGACCAGGTCTCCTGGAGCCCAAGCCCTAGACACAGGGCAGGAAGGAAAGACCAGACACCCCTGGCAGGGCCCAGAGCCCTGGTCCACCTCCCAGCACAGACCTGTGGCTGGCAGCTCCAGGCCAGGGGCAGACACCTGCTCTCACTGTCTCACCATCCCCCTGGGGACACATGGACCCTGGGCTGGTCCCTGGGAACTACTCCCCCTGTGCCTGGCCTGGCCCAAAGCCTTCCCTCTGTGAACCCTGTGCAACTGGAATGGAAGCTGCTGTCTCTCACCAGCAGGAGAAAGCATGGGCTTGCCAGCAGCATGAGGGATGGGAAACCTGCCCCCTAACTCTGTGCCCCAGGCTAGCCCAAACCACCACAGCAGCACTTCCTGCCTCATTGCTTGCTGGAAACGTGAACCCAACTGCAGGCAAAGCTCCGAGCTCAGAAGATCCATCGGGGTGCCAAACAAATCCTCCTCACAGCCCCTCACACTCCACCGCAGCCGGCCGAGATGCCCACCTTGTACTGCCCCGCCTCCGGATGATCTTGGTGCGGCTCTTCACTTTGTAAGCCGAAAGCGGGGTCTCCCCAGAGACGGGCTTCAAGCCACTGAGTCCTACGGCTGGCCTGTCCCCCGGCGGGGACCTAGACAGGACTGGGGAGAGCTGGGAGGCATGATCCTTGCTGCCGGCCTCTGACTGCCAACGGAAGGAGGAAGAGGAGGAGGCAGAGGGGCTGGAGGCCTTCCACTTGTACTTGCTGGGGGCAGACCCTGGCTTGGAGGACGTGGCTGGCTTCCTGGGCTTGGACTCTGGGTCAGCTACGAGCTGCGGCTTCTCCACCTTGTTTGCCGTGCCAGCAGGGACCTTGCACACATTCTCTGCAGCCACTCTGGGACTGAGGGCCCTCCGAGCAGCCCGGGGACTCTTCGCGGAGGCAGCCACCCATTTGTAGTTGTTTTTCCGGAACTTGTTAGTTCGACAGGTCACAACCAGCGAGGCCTCCCGAGCCTGCCTGGGTCCTGAGGCCAGTCTGGCTGGGCCCACCACTGAGCCTGACGGAACTGGCTGATCTGTGTGGCCAGCATCTACTCTCCTGTCCCCAAGGAGCTGTGGAGCACAGCTGGCCACGGAATGAGAACCCAGCTTCCGGCCGGGGGCCACGCCAGTGCGTGGGGGCAGAGCGGAGGATGGGAAGCTCGCCTTGATGGCAATCACGCTCTCGCTGACTGTCCGGCGGGGCTCCCGGGGGCTGTCGCCCACACTGCCCACTGATTTCACCACCCTGGGCTTACCGGCCTCCTTCTGGCAGACCAGAAGAGGATCTTCCACATTGCAGGTCCCCCTGATTCTTGCTGGTCTCGAGGGCTGCAGCTGTCCCCGAGGGGGCTCACCTTCACCTTCCCGGGGCCTTTGGTCACTCCAGGGGGTGTCCTCATATTCTTCCAAAGAGCCCCGCTGGGCCCCTGAAGCACTGGCAGAGCCAGACTTTGATGGTGGTTTAACTTTGATGACCACGTTCTGACCTTGATTGAGCTGGACCTGTCTCCCAAGGATGCGCTGCTGCGGGACAGGAGCCGGGCCCCCCCGGGCCCCGTGCAACGGCCGCACAGCAGGGTCGGCAGGTGGGTCTGAGGGTCCCGGGGGCCGATTCACGAGGGAGTATTTCTTGCGCCACGAAGGCCCATGGTGTGAGGAGTAGCCCCTCCGGCTTGGACGAGGGTAGCGGGCACTGAAGGCCCTGCCACTGTGGTAAGTGGGTGGCTGCCACCCAGAAGCTGTTGGGGTACCAGGGGCTGGGGCATTGCCATGGAGGGTTTTGTAGTCATCAATTAGACCTGAGAAGACAGAACCACAGGCTCAGTTAGCCAGAGGGTAACCGTAAGAATCATGACTACCCTGGAAGGGCATCAGCTGGCAAGATACCCCCAGATCTCATCTCACTTCTGAGCCCCTGCCGGTTTCAGGAGGCACAGCCCCCAGCACCTGGGACTCACTGACAACTCAGTCCGCGTCACCTGGGCCTGTCACTTCTGTGAGCCTTTTCTCCAACAGCTCCACTTCAATCCTACTTCCACCTGCTTAACACAAAAATGAACCATGTGGTACAACCCTTATTTGCTGGTCTACTGAGTCCACAGTCCTTTGATGAGAAGTATCACTCAGTCTGAAGAGAATCGCAACGATCCCCTCTGCACTGTTTGAATCAGAAGGGACAAGTCGGCCGCGCAGGCCCTCTGGCTTGCCTACAGACGGAAAGGAGTCACTCCACTAAGGGAAACGGAACTGACACTCCTGAGGACGCCATGCCTGACAACAGGAAAAAAGAATACTAGGAGCAGAGACCATTGCCCTGCCAGACGTCACAGTCTTCCCTGCAGAAGAGGAGAGAGCAATGGGCTAGAGTCCTACTGCAGTAAACTGACACAATCACAGGACTTTCCAAATAAGTCCCTGGATAGCTATCCCGGTGCAGGAGGGCCAGGAACACAGGCAAGGGCAGCAGCAGCCAGGGGTGCTCCGACTCAACCAGCAAACTAGCAGCAGCCAGCCTCCCAGACATCAGCATTCCCCCACCACAGGCCCTGCCCCTGGGGACACAGAAAGCCATGTCCAGACATGGTGACACCCCGAGCAGGTGTGATGGGAGCCCAAGAAGTGTCCCCAAGTGGGAGGCAGTCCACCCGGCCTCTTATCCATACACACTTTCCCAATCCTTAAGTCTTCCCTTTGTGAGAGTAAAAGCAAAAAGGAGTTTTAATTTTTGTTAGTTTTTTTTGTTTGGTTGGTTTTGGCTTTTTATTTGAGATGTTATTTGGCTTTTTTTATTTATTTATTTTATTTGGCTTATCTCTGTTGCCCAGGCTGGAGTGCAGTGGCCCAATCACAGCTCACTGCAGCCGGGACCTCCTGGGCACAAGCGAACCTTCCACCTCTGAGTAGCTGGGACTACAGGCGCAAGCCACCACGCCCATTTCATTTTTAAAAATTTTTCTGTAGAGACGGGGTCTCCTCATGTTGCCCAGGATGGTCTCAAACTCCCGGGCTCAAGCCATCCTCCTGCCATGGCCTCCCAAAGTGCTGGGATTATAGGCGTGGGCCATTGCGTCCGTACATGGATTTTTTTTTTTTTTAAGTTTAGAAACACCAATTTGGGTTTTTTAATGTTTCAGTGTGGAAGCTGAAGCCTGTTGAGTCTGCGCCTGAAACGCAAGGGAAGTGTGACTGTTTGGAGAAAAGGGGCATCAAAACTGGGCGTCGAGGCTGGGAGCGGTGGCTCATGCCTGTAATCCCAGCAGTTTGGGAAGCCCAGGTGGGTGGATTACCTGAGGTCGCGAGTTAGAGACCAACCTGGCCAACATGGTGAAACCCCGTCTCTACTCAAAATACAAAAATCAGCCGGGCGTTGTGGCGCATATCTGTAATCCCACCGACTCCGGAGGCTGAGGCAGGAGAATCGCTTGAACCCGGGATGCGGAGGTTGCAGCGAGCCGAGATAGCGTCACTGCACCCCGGCCTGGGTAACAGCAACACTCTGTCTCAAAAAAACAAAACAAAACAAAACAAAACAAAACAACAAAAAAATGGGCGTCAAGAAAAGAATCCGTGTGCGCCCGGAGCCTGCTCTGCCGAAATGACCCATGAACCAGTCCCAGTCCCGCAGTGGGGCGCGGGGAGCGAGGGTGGGCGCCGAGGTGGGGAGGGCCGACGCCTCCCGCGGGTTACTAAGCGATGCCCCTGCCTCCACCCTCTGCAGCCCCCGCAGGGCCGGCACCGCTCCCTCCACAAAGCTGGAGCCGGGGACTGACCCGGGCCCTGAGCCGGCCCACAAGTCCTGACGGACCCTACCGTTCCCCACACCAGCCGTCACCAGGAACACGCGGGCGGTGAGCGACCCCTTCGACGAGGCGGACAGAGACCGGCCGCGAGGTGAGGGGGAAAGAAGGGGACTCGCGTCCTAGCCCCGGCCGGACCTACCCTGCAGGAGACGGATCTGCCGCCGTAATATCTCCTTTTCCTCCATCTCCCAAGTCCGCGACGCCCGGCCAAGCCCCCGCGACGTCATCGCTACGCGACCTTTTTGGCGCTGGCGGGGCAGAGCGGGCCAGGGCGGAGCCGCGGGGAGCAGGCCCGGATGTCTGCCGGCCGCAGACGACCCGCCGTCGCCCTGGCAACGGCAGCGAAGAGGCGGAGCCGCGCACGCGCAGAGCGAGGCGGGGACGTCACTAGTGAGCGTCGGGAAGTAGCCTGGTTGCCGCTGGGAAGGGGCGGTTCGGGCGCTGGGAGGCCGCGCGGCCCAGCTTGTGCAGTCCGGGATCGGGTCCCCTTGGGAGACTGGGCGAGGGGCGAGACCTGGGGCCCTCCCAGCCCATACCGCAGTTCCTTCCCACAGTCCCTGCGTTTCATTTCGCCCCAGTTGAGAGTTGGAGGTCTACGGGGGGACCCCATGGGAGAAGGGCCAGTTAACAGTTACTCTTGACCCACGAGGGTCTGTGAAACCTCTTACTGTGGCCAGAGGAGAAGACATCGGAGAGCAAGTTTCCCTGGATAGACATGTTGAACCTCTGAAAACATGAAAGTTTTTGGTTCGTCAGTGGAAACATGTACAAGTGCGCAGTTGGTGGGAATGTAAATGGCGCAGCACCGCAGAAAACTATGGAGATTCCACAAAAGGTTAAAAGTAGAACCACCGGATATGAGGGCGATCTGGCTGCGACACCTGTCATCCCACTGATTGCCAGGGTTGATTCGGCTGATCTGGCTGGCTAGGTCAGTGTCCCCTTCCTTCCTCACTGTTTCATGTGCGTCCCTCCCAACGCTGCGGCTCAATCGAAGGGGACGACTGTACCCAAGAGAGGAGTTGGGCTCCCCTGCTAGAACCTCCAAACAAGCTCTCAAGGTCCATTTGTAGGAGAATGTAGGGTAGTCAAGCTTCCAAGATTCCAGACGCATCCAAATGAGGCGCTGCATGTGGCAATCTGCCTTTCTAGGAGAAAACAAAAACGGAACTACCGTATGATCCAGCAACCCTACTTCTGCCTATATTCCCAAAAGAATGTAAATCAGAGACTCAAACATATTTGTGCCCCCATGTTCACTGCAGCATTTTTCACAATAGCCAAAAGACAGAAACAACCCAAGTGTCCATGGGTGGATGGAATGATAAAATGTGGTCCATACAAACAATGAAATATTTTTCAGCCTTAAAAAGGAAGGAAATTCGGCCGGGTGCGGTGGCTCACGCCTGTAATCCTAGCACTTTGGGAGGCTGAGGCGGGCGGATCACGAGGTCAGGAGTTGGAGACCAGTGTGGTCAACATGGTGAAACCGCGTCTCTGCTAAAAATACAAAAAATTAGCCGGGGATGGTGGTGCACACCTGTAGTCCCAGCTACTCAGGAGGCTGAGGCAGAAGAATCACTTGAACCCAGGAGGCGGAGGTTGCAGTGAGCCAAGATCGAGCCACTGCACTCCAACCTGGGCGACAGAGCTAGACTTTGTCTCAAAAAAGAGAAGAAAGAAAAGAAAAAAAGGAAGGAAATTCTAACACAGGATACACCATGGATAAACCTTGAAAACATTATGCTATGTAAAATAAGCCAGTCACAAAAAGACAAATCTTGTGTGATTCCACTTCCATGCAGTATCTGGAATACAGATTCCTAGAGACAGAAGGTAGATTAGAGGTTCAGTGGCTGGGATAAGGAGGAATGGAGAAGTGTTGCTTAATGGGTATAGGGTTTCTGTTTGGAGTGACGAAAAAGTTTTGAAAGTAGTGGTGATGGTTACACAAAATTGTGATGGTAATAATGCCACTGAATTACACACGTTAAAATGGCTAGGCTGGGCCAGGCGCGGTGGCTCACACCTGTAATCCCAGCACTTTGGGAGGCCAAGGTGAGCAGATCAGGAGGCCAGGAGATGGAAACCACCCTGGCTAACATGATGAAACCCTGTCTCTACTAAAAATACAAAAATTAGCCAGGCATTGTGGCAGGCGCCTGTAGTCCCAGTTACTCAGGAGGCTGAGACAGGAGACTGGCGTGAACCCGGGAGGCAGAGCTTGCAGTGAGCCCAGTTCGCGCCACTGCACTCCAGCCTGGACGACAGAGTGAGACTCTATCTCAAAAAAACAAATAAAAAAGGCTAGGCTGGGCGGGGTGGCTCAAGCCTGTAATCCCAGCACTTTGGACTTTGGGTGGCCAAGGCGGGCGGATCACGAGGTCAAGAGATCAAGACCAGCCTGGCCAACATGGCGAAACCCTGTCTCTACTAAAAATACAAAAACTAGCAGGGCGTGGTGGCAGGTGCCTGTAATCCCAGCTACTCAGGAGGCTGAGGCAGGAGAATTGCTTGAAGCCGGGAGGCGTAGGTTGCAATGAGCCAAGATCGTGCCACTGCACTCCAGCCTGGGAGACAGAGCAAGACTCTGTCTCAAAAAAAAAAAAGGCTAAAATGACCACTTCTATGCTGTATGTATTTTACAACAATGAATAAGGAATAAGCAATGTTAAAGTTCTTCAGGACCAGGCGCAGTGGCTCACACCTGTAATCCCAGCACTTTGGGAGGCCAAGGCGGGTGGATCATGAGGTAAGGAGTTCAAGACCAGCCTGACCAACATGGTGAAACCCCCATCTACTAAAAATACAAAAAAATTAGCTGGGTGTGGTGGCACATGCCTGTAGTCCCAGCCACTCGAGAGGCTGAGACAGGAGAATCGCTTGAACCCGGGAGGCGAAGGTTGCAGTGAGCCGAGATCGCGCCACTGCACTCCAGCCTGGGCAACAGAGTGAGACTCCGTCTCCAAAAAAAAAAAGAAAAAAGAAACAAAGTTCTTCAGGCTGGTTGCAGTGGCTCACACCTGTAATCCCACCACTTTGGGAGGCTGAGGTGGGTGGATCACCTGAGGTCAGGAGTTTGAGACGAGCCAGACCAACATGGTGAAACCCTTTCTCTATTAAAAATACAAAAATAGGCCGGGCGTGGTGGCTCAAGCCTGTAATCCCAGCACTTTGGGAGGCCGAGACGGGTGGATCACGGTGAGGGTCAGGAGATCGAGAACCATCCTGCGCTTAACACGGTAAAAACCCCACTCTTTTACTAAAAAATATCAAAACAGCTAGCCGCGGCGGAGGGTGGGGGGCCGCCTGCAGTCCAGCCTACTTGGAGGCTGAGGCAGCGAGAAATGACGTGAACCCGGGTTAGGCGGAGTTGCATGAGCCGAGATCGGCCACTGCACTCCCCCGAGGCCGGGACCCAGGGGGACCCTTTGTCGCCGCTTTGTGTCTCCCTCCCTCTCTCCTCCCCCCCCGCCTGGGGATTCAGAGCGAGACTCGGTCTCAAAAAAAAAAAAAAAAACAAAAACAAAAACAAAAATTAGCTGGATGCGGTAGGGGATGCCTGTAGTCCCAGCTACTCAGGAGGCTGAGGCAGGAGAATCACTTGAACCCGGGAAGCTGAGGTTGCAGTGAGCCAAGATGGCACCACTGCACTCCAGCCTGGGCGACAAGAGTGAAAGTCTATCTCAAAAAAATAAAAATAAAAGAAGAAATTTCTTCAGGCTGAAGAGGATACAATATGGAGACTCAGATCTACAAGAAGAAAGAGTGTAGGAAATGAGAAGTATGTTAGAAAATGAAAATTTTTTCTCTTTGTTTTCTGTAAAACACAAGGAGCTGCAGCAAAAATAAGATATTGAGGTTTCTAACATATGTAAACATGAAACACATGGCAACAGTGATGCAGAGGACTCCCGTGCATGGTGCCTCTGAAGAGATACCTGTGCACGTAGGTAAGGACGCAATCCATGGCCTCCACCCAGCCTGCCTCTGTCCTGCTCCTAAGGCCAGCACTAGCCAGGCTAGTGTGACTCCACCCCCCATACAGTGATGGGCACTGTGAGGGCTTCTGCAGTGGCAGTGGCAAAGGCAGCTTGCTGGCTGGAGAGGGCTGGATCCCCAAGCAGAAGGGCGAATGGAGGCTGGGAAGTCAAGGCAGTAGAACAGGCCGACTCAGGCCATGGGAGCCCCAGCCAGGAGTCCCACCTAGCCCAGATGGATCTAGGAGAGGCGGAATCCATGTGAAACCATCTTTGCTTCCTGCTGCCTTGCAGACTCCATCCAAGCACCACCCAGTCCTGTCTATCCTCCCTCCTCCCTCCTCTTCCTTCGCTCCCACTGCAACTCTCCCAGCTGATCATTTCGCTAGAGTCTCTGCCGCTATCCCTCCAGGCAGACTGCGAGTGGCCTGGAGACAAGCCCGTGGGTGACTCTGGAGTGACTTATGTGCCAGGACTTGGGTGACCATGAGAGGACTCTGAGAATGAATGGGATGAAATTTCCCACCAGGAGGCTTGATGAGCACTTGTGCCGTGGACTAGCCCTGTCTTGTCTCCCTTGAGACTCTTGTGACCACTACCTTGTGACAGCCGGGGGTGGCCTGCCGGACTGTGCCCAGCACATGCAGAGCATTGAGAACGAAATGTTTGCGCCCCCACATACTAACTTCATCTGTTCAAATCCAAACTGTCAGTGTGATAGTATCAGGAAGTGGGGCCTCTAGAAGGTGGTTAGGTCATGAGAGTGGAGCCCTCGTGAATGGGACTAGTGCCCTATAAGAAGCAGATAGGACGGGCACAGTGGCTCACACCTGTAATCCCAGCACTTTGGGAGGCCGAAGCAGGTGGATCATGAGGTCAGGAGTTCGAGACTGGCCTGACCAACATGGTGAAACCCCATCTCTACTAAAAATACAAAAAAATTAGCTGGGCGTGGTGGCACACACCTGTAATCCCAGCTACTCAGGAGGCTGAGGCAGGAGAATCGCTTGAACACAGGAAGCAGAGGTTGCAGTGAGCCGAGATCACGTCATTGCACTCCAGCCTGGGCAACAGGAGCGAAACTCCATGTCAAAAAAAAAAAAAAAAAATTACAGAGGCTGGGCACAGTGGCTCACACCTGTAATCCCAGCACTTTGGGAGGCCAAGGTGAGCAGATCAGGAGGCCAGGAGATGGAAAACAAAACAAAACAAAACAAAACAACAAAAAA